TCAATTACTTGAGTTTCATAAAGGCTACCTAACACTTTGTTAAAGTAGATAGTCTGATAGTTAGGCTTAGGTTGTTACTACATAATCTATCTCAACTAATTATTTATGTGTTATTTAAATTAAAGTTAGGTTAAATCGAAACTAGATTTGATACTGATTCCTCGTGAGATCGATACTTGGACTTAGATTTATTTTATTATTTGTTTATGAACCATACAATTGGGGGTATAAATTTTCAGAATAAGTTTTTTAGTTTAATTCTTCTTCTTATTTTTTCTTTTATTTTTATTGTTCTTTTTAAAGCTGCTTTATTTGTTTTTCTTTGTTTCATTAACAAGGAGTGAAGCAGAACACGTGATCGACAGTCAATGGCAATGATTGATCTCAACAAGTATGGTGAAGACATGCTTGTGGGAGATCTCTTTGACATGTGCAGATTTAAAGGGACACGATATAATGCACTATCCAAGTTCGATGAGGACGATGTGCCTTTGGGATCAACATGGAATTTAACCTATCAATCTTCCACTTATCATATTAGAACGTATTTGATGAGGAAGACTTGTATTGGAAGTTTATGGGGATTATGGGGCCCTTGGTCTAAAAATCATGCCCTTGGTCTAAAAATCATTATGGTGGTAACTTCATAGTCATCAACAAGAAAAGGGAGACATCCCTTGATACATTCCTTGTGAAATAGCACGAGGCTTTGAATGGAAGACTGGTTATTCAATGAAGAAGAACATATAGAGAATGAAGAATTAATCACAATGGAACCAAATGGAGCAGTAATATTCAATAAAGTTGAAAATATCTTACAATCCCTTGACTTTATTATTTGCTTTAATAGGGATTTCATGATTAAGGTTAATGGTGATGTAGACTTCATAGTTGAGTTTGAATTGGATAGAGCAAAGGAGTCATAATATATTGAAAAGTGACAATGTAAAGTTTTGAAGGATAATGATAGCTCAAGAATAACTAGCCAAGAGCGGGTGAATTGGATTTTAAAACTTTTTTGGAAATAAACTTAAATCAAGCAAGCTAAGAATGCATTGATAACTAATAATCATAAGCAAATAAAAGTAGATTAATTAAATAATAAATATAAATAAGATGACAATAAGTAAAATGGTGGAGATGATGCAAATGATATAATTGTAGATGTTTGATTCAAAGGAATAATCTACATTCTTTGTTACCAAGCTCTCTAGTATGAGTAAGGCCTTTTCACTATATAGATTAACTTGTAGTACAATCCAAACCTTTACAATATTTCCGATGACTTACAATCAAGAAGTACTGGTCCTTATACAATATTGAGTTTTACGGGACGTTAACATGATTCACTGGTGACCTACAATAAGGATCATCGATCCTTATACTACTGAGCTTTCAAGGGATCTCAATACAACCCACATGGTAACTTATAATAAAGAGCATTGATCCTTATATTATTGAGCTTTCATGCGACCTCAATACAATCTAAAAGTTTAGAGCAATGACTATACAATGAAATTTCTCTCTTAATAGATTATACAAATGAATTAAGTACTAAGAAAGACTAACACTTTAATGAATGGTGATAATTAAAATTTTGATTGAATTAATCAAGTTTTTCAATGAAAAAGACGAAAAAGAAATAAATGCAATGTATATTCCAAAATCTTTTCAATAAATATCTTTTTTTTAATGAATAATTGTAATAAATTAAGTATCAAGAGAGAAATGAAAAACTTTAATGAATATGATGATTTTACAAGTTTGATCCAATCAATCAAAGTTTTAAATATAAAAAAGTAGAAGAAATATATGCAATGTAAGTTCAAAAATCTTCTTTGAAATATATCTCTCTTTTATGAATAGAAATAAGTTAAATATAAAAGAAGAGATGAAAAACTTTTATAAGGACGACAATTAAAGAGTTTGAATCAATAAAAGTATTTTATATGAAGAAATAAATCAAATGAATGTAAAGGAAAGCTCAAAAATTTTTCGTAAAAAGTGGGGACGTTTATAGAGTTCAAAGTACAAAACTTTCTGAAAGTTTGGATGAGCAGCCAACAACTGTCTCATGTCCCGATGACAAAAATATATCTGTATTACAAATCACAACGATCAAATTCTTGAACCGTTGGACATTTTTAGTCAATTGCCAATCTCAGTTCGTTGATCGCCGTTAGTTGACTTCAGCTCCAGCTAATAGTGCAACTGGTTGTTATCGGTTTGGCCGATTTTTCCGTTTTGACTATGTTTGATTTGATTTGAATTTTCTGACAAATGCAGACCTTGGAAATGTGTTTTTAACTAGTTTTCAATGTAAATGATGTTTTAAAAATATGGTCTAAGTTCAAACATCATTTTGAAAATCAATTTTACTTTATATCAAAACATTTTATGCAAGTGATAATCAACATAGCTTTTTGAGTACAATAATTTTTGAGTTTTTTTCATTTATTGTTAAAAATCAAAGTTATTAATATCTTTATATTTGACGTAAGAAAGCCTAAGCTTTGATGTTTCTTTGAAGTTTGGCTTCTAGGATCTCATCTTGATCTTCCTTTGAAATTTGGCTATTTGACTCTTATCTTGAATACTTGACTCCAATCTTGACCTTCGTTGTGAGTCCGATTTGTAATGTGATGGTCTTGATCTTTTGGCAATGATTGATCAATTTTAGAGTTGAATGCTTTGAAGACTATCATTACTTTAAATTAACTGTTAGAAAACAATACTAACTTGCTTGTTATGATAAAAATATTAAGGATAATGTCAACCATAGGTCAACAAATAAATGATAAGTGAGGCAAAGTTAATTAAGGTAAACTAAGCAATGCTTCAAAAGCTATACTCAAAATACCATGAAACATCGTTATAAAAGTTGGGCTAAGACTATAAACGAATGCTTATTGCATGGTAACTAAATTCTCTTAGTGCTCTATTTCGACTAAACTTGGCATCACTCTTCCTCAATCCCCTCTTATTTATTGTGACAATGTTGGGGCTACTCATTAATGCTCAAAGCTAGTTTTTCATTCAAGAATGAAACATGTTGCTATTGATTTTCATTATATTCGTGATCAAATTTAAAATGGCACTTTACGTGTTGCTCATGTTTCTAGTGAAGATTAGCTAGCAGATGCACTTACGAAGTCACTCCTGTGATCTCCTTTCCTGTCTCTTCAAACCAAGATTAGCTTCTTCGAAGCATAAAGAGATAATCGTCTATTATCTCTAGAGATAATCTTTTGTTATACTTGGTGATAATCCTCTATTAATTATTTCTAGAGATATTCTTCTGTTATACTTGGTGATAATCCTTTATTATCTGTAGAGATAATTTTGTGTTATAATTGATTTGATCATGTATGGACTTTGTATGCATTTGCGATTCTTTGATTTCGATCCCATCTTGTAAACTATGTATATATACTCCATTATTGATTGAGAATTCAGCAGCAAAAACTTCCCTCTCTATTATCTTAAATTGTAATCTTAAAATAGTTTTTCTTCTCAGCTTATCAAAGAGGGTGCAATTTGAAATAGAATAGAGAGGAAAGTGGAAAGAGAATGACAAGGATTTTCTCTTTTCTTTTTCACGATTCTAGTAGATTATGAAAAAAGTTGTTAAAATGTATGATTGAAAAGTTGTGGGTGTTATAAAATATGATGTCAAAATTAACTGTTGACTTTGACTTATATTAAAATCTAGATTTTAATTTCTACTAAACATGGGCTCAGTATGAATGTCATGATAGGAAGTGTTTCAACTTGTATACCAATTAGATGACAATTCTTAGAATGCATTGAAATACTCAAAACATTGTAGTAAATTGGATGCAATGATTAAGCACTAGAGATACATTTTGCAACTAGACAAAAGTCACAAAAAACCTATATATATAAGAAAGAATTATAAGATGAGTTTGTTGGCATTAATGATGGAATTTTGTCTGAGTCACCAGGATAATAAAATTGTAAAATGGACTTCTCCTTAAAGTTTACCTAAGGAGACAGATAGCACATGGCACATGCTCCCCAATATTATAGATCTCTGTCTCGTTGTGTGTGTACACATGCAGCCACAGAGGGAACCAACAAATATATGGCATTCCTATCTGAATTGTGTGATAATGCAGGAAGGATCGAAGGCGAGACATTTCAAGACTCGAGCTAATGGAATAAAGTCATTTGGAAACTGAACCCTTCGGAAATATTCATCACAAAATTTGCAATTTTTCTCTCTACTCGCTTCAGTCGTTCCTCTAACAGCTTAAGGAAGAATGATGGATCACTAACAAGGACACTAAATGACCGCTAAGAAGGCCTAACTCTTTTTTTCTCAGTATGTCACTTGCTCGATCCTCCCCGTCAGTTGTTAGAACGAGACGAGCCGAGGCCGAGTCTCAGATTCTGAAAGAGGAAAGGCCCAAAAGTCTAAATAGGGGGTTAGAAATTCCCCATCTCATTGGGACGGAAAACCAATTGACATCTTCGTGTTGAATATTCAACTTAACCGTTTTCTTATGACACAACTGAATTCTACTAGTTGTGTACAACTTTTTCAGCACTGGATCCTTCAACTCGATCCAATTATTTAACACATATATAATATTGAAGTTTCACTTCAAAGGGTGAAATAAACCAAGGAATACAATCCATCTATCGAAAAGGAGCTTAAAATAAAAATGTAAGTGAAGCTAAACTTTGTTTCTCTGCCAAGAAAACCCTCTTCATCCTCCACAAAGAAAGAACTAACCACCCCATTATATTATTATTTTGATTTTTGATTAAACATTTCTTGGTAATTAACTAACATAATCAAACATTGAGAAATAACTTAAATTGAAGATCTGCATAGAAGTATACGACAAAATGACACCATATATTGATCTAAAATCTATTTTCCTTTCATTTCTACCATTCCATACAGAGTAATTAAAACTGCAGATTAAAATACAAAATTGCACTGAGAGTGATACATATATCTCGACTCAACTCTAGTGGGAAGCAGTCACTAGTCTTTGGCAGTCAGTTCTTGTCGCAGCAACAAACCTCGACGAGAAGGAATAGAATTTGTAGTAATCTTCATCTGATAAATTACCGGAGCCACTTGTATCAAAGTTTAGAGAATAACTCAATGGATCGTATCGGCATTGGAACGATGGTTGCCTGCTTGTAGTACGCAACATTTTGCTTCGTTTTTTGAGTACTCTTCTCATTAAGTTGGATAGGCCACAGCAGTTACGTGTAGATGCATTTTCCGACGATCCATGAGCATCACCACCACCACTTGCGGTGGCTGAAGTGGTTTTTGGCCACCAGTGGAATGCTAAATGTGTCATCGTTTGGCTTTAGAGGATGTTTAGATGGTTAAGAGGAACTCTTGGCTATTGAATTTGTACAAGTTTCTGGGGAGTGGGAGAGGTGAAGGGAGAAATAATGTCCTCCCACTATATATAAGTTAGATTTGAACGAGCATTCCACGTTATTTTGAAATACTTTGTAAGTTCTGTGAAAGTAATATTTGAAGGTGTATGTGATACGTGCATTTTATGCGCTTATTCGGGCATATATTCTTATTTAATTATATATAAATTGAGCGATTATCTACTTAGTTTGTGTAAATTATGTTAAAATGTAGGAAAATCTCAAATTTATATGAAAAGAGGCTATTTGGAGTTTAATTGGATTTTATTTGAAGCAATTGAAAATAAACCGAATTGCAAAAGATCAATTGGAAATATTAATGAAGCATTCTGTAAACAAAATCGTAAGTTTCGGGAGTTAAATTCAACAATTGAAAATTTCGAGGATAAAATTGCAAACTCCGAAACTTGTCTTGGGTCAACTATTATGAGTTTGGAATGAAGAGGACTCAATTGCAAAATAAAAGAAGATGGAGGAATAAAATTACATAACAAAGGAGTTCAATTGAAAAATGAACTTGTTTCGTTTTATTTCTTAAACTCGTTGGCCAAAATTAATTTGAACTCTGTAGTATAAACCAATTTAAAATCATTGGAGGAAGTCAAGTTGGACAATTATTTCACACAAAACTTTTTTTCTACAAATACATACCTTAGCCCAACAATTAAAGAAGGCTTGAAGAATTTCATTATACACATATATTCAAGCCAAAGCTTGGGGATCATTGTACGTATATTATTCAAGCCAAAAGGAGGAAAAAAAATCAAAAAAGCAATTAAGAAGCTAGGGCTTCAAGGATTTCACAAGAAAAGGCAAATTCTTGGTGCAAGATCTTCATCTTTTTCTTGTTTTTCCTTAATACCCAGTGATGTACTTTAATTCATTCTTTTAGTTTTATTATTATTCAATGATGTGTAATTAAGTATTTAGTCAAGATAAATGATTGTAGCCTAATTTTGAACCTTATTTTTAATTAAAAAGTTTTAAATCTCATTGATTTTGTAATGCTTGGATTAATTGACCATTAATTCAATGATTTCATGAATAATAATTACGCAGAGATGCAAATTATTTATTTAGACAACGTGGTAAAAGTCGGTAATTAGTATAAAACCTAGAGACACTTATGCTAGTTATTGCGATCTTTACATAAATTCTTAGAACATACGCACGTTTAACTAAGATTGATTCATATAGAGATATGGAATTGAATTAGTTAAATAGACTCAATGAAAACTCAAAATGGGTAAATTGAATATCTTACAATAATTCAATTCGGTAAACATAATCAATTGTGTAAAACTTGGTAATTGAAATTAAGGGGATGACTATGGTAAAATCATGAATCCTAACACTTAAACCATCATATAAAAAAAGTCACTTTTATGTTTAATTTATTTAAAATAAAAAAATAACAAAAATTAGATAAACCCATTCTTTATTTATTTTTGATTGAATTCAAGTTATGAATAATTGAATCAATTGTTAGATAGTAGTCGTCGTGGGAATGATATACGGACTCTTAGATCTATTTTATCACTTGTTATAATCTGTACACTTGTGAGATATAAAATTGACAATAGTATGAATATAAAAAAAAATTTAATAAAAATCAATGAACTTTTTGTTCAATGAGAATATTTTGGTACACTATATTTTTTTATGCAATTAGGAGAATCTAACTTAACAAATATCTTCGTAGTTGCCATGAAATTCCTCTTGAAAATGCAACATATAATTGTTTGTTTGAGAATACATGTTGTGAATGATATCTTCCGACATAAGATATTGTCTATCCTTGAACCTTGTTGATTGTCATTGCAAAATCCAATTTGGCTAAAACCTCTACTGATGTATTAGAAAGAAAAACAAAATATTTGATGATTGAAATGAAATATCAACCAATTTCTAAAAATTATTTAAATAGTTGAGAAAATCAATTAGAATAGTCCATCCATTTGTCATTTTGATCTAAATATGAGAGAAATGCAACTCCCTCAAAATAAATAATAATTATTATACATGCATGTAAATAGTAAAATGCATACTTGAATGTGAGTATTATAATTACAAGTAAATGCATAAATGAAGATAATGGCAATTACAATGCATGAATTAACATGAATGTTAATTAATTTAGAATTAATACTAGTGAATATATACGTGACAATGCATTTATATTAAATGAACATAATCTAACTTCCAATTAAGTGAAATTGAATACTAATTAGCATATATGGAGGTGAATAATGAACTGTATTTTTGAACATGAAATTCTAATTAATTTATAATTAGAATTAATAAGCTTAAATACATAAATGAAGATGAATATTAATTAAATGAATGTGAATGTTAATTAATTGAAAATGTATATAAAAGGATTTTACAGTATTTATTACAGTTTATATTTGAGTACATGTGGTGAAAGCATAAAAGTGAAATGAATCTTACATTCATGATAATGAAATAGCTTGCAAAATAATTATTTATAATATAACCATAAATTAAATGCATATTAAAAAATAAAAAGTAATGTATTATTGAAATAATTGAATTGTAGTAGAATTATATTTATCTATAAAATGATTCTCACTTAATATGATATTTAATATATTAACTAGGGAACAACCCAAGTGATAGGACTGGACATCCAGGCCCTGTCACCCAAGAATACGTAACCATATTAACTAAAATTATTATAGATATATAATATATACCGCAGTTTGGTTGTAGGAAAAAAGGTGATCAAAAATTAAATCAAAATCAACAATTAATTTTGATTATATGCCCCCCGTTTGGCCCACTTTAAAACTCTTCAATTTAATTTAATTTTTTCTCTCTCCTACTTTCAACCACACAATCTTTAATAAAATAATATTACATTCAAATTGAAAACTTTTCAACCACACAATCTTCAAAAAAAATATTATCCCCCTCATTATAAATTCAAATAATGGGGGTCAAACGGGGGCTATATTTCATGGAAGTCATAACTTTTATCAAATTTTCAACTATTATTCAATCATTTTTTTTTTTTTTGTCAAAATCTACTAAAATTTTAATTTTTAGCTACACGAACCAAGAGCATAGAGCAACACAATTGCAAGGTTTGATAATATGTGGAATAAAGTCATTTGTTCCTCGAGCCTACTCGAATCATTTCAGGTGATGTGCACGTAAAATGAAAAGAGTACTGATTTCGTCATTTAATATTACATCACATAAAAAAATGAATTAGCAAGATTTATTGCAACTTAAATTAGTATTAAAAACTATTCAAAATGGATCCCTTCATAATTGTCCAAAACTGATACTTTAAAAATCACTCATAAATTCTCAAAACTCCCAAGTCCCTAAGAGACTTTTGACTTCAAATGTAGACAAGCTTTAGGAGTGTGACAATTAAACATTAAACATCACTAAATTATATTAATTCTAGGAATTATAAATTCCTACTATGTGCATTGCACATGCACATGCACATGCACATGCAGGTGTTAATTACAATTACTGACACTTTAACTGAGGAAGGTAATGAGCAAATGACAGAGGAATTTGAATTTTAGAAAATTAAGAGAAAATTCATTCATTTTGAATTTAGTTAATTGAATGTAGAAGAGTTGATTAATTTTATAATAATAATAATAATAATAATAATAATAATAATAATAATAATAATACCACTCTTCTACTTGTTTATTTATTTATAAAGTAATATAACTTTTATCAAATCAAAATTACCCTGAGCTATAGACTACATCATGAGCTACTTTATTCCACTCTGGAAGAATTAGGTAACGATAACCACAATTAACGTCGCTTAGTAAAGATACAATATTAGAAAGAAGAACTTCATTGGGAGGACTACGATAACGATAACCACAATAACGATAACCACAATAATAAGAATTAGGTAACGATAACCACAATTAACGTCGCTCCAAGTGATTCACACTCGACAATCTGAACCATAAATTTATTTTCCTTGGCAAAAATTAATCCGTCCCATACAATAATAGTGTAGGCATCCTCCACATATAGACGGGCCACTCGTTTATTTTGCTACGCCGTCACAAACCGAAATGATTCTCCGATAACCATCCCATCTTTTTACCCTTTTTTTTTATAGAAAAATAATTTCCTGATCATCTACAAGTAAAATATTAATATCTTCTAATAAAATATGAATAATTGACTCATAATAACATTAAAGTTTTTGAATTACCTCCATATCCTTAAATGGAATCAATTTGATTGAATGTATGATAATTTAGAATTATTCTTCCCATTTAGTTTTCGATAATTTAATATATAGAGGCTTGTTGCATTCCACCATAAATCGAGGTTAATGCACTGCAAATGTATATTTAAAAAATATATATTCTCAGATGCAAGATTCCGAGTTCGTTTGACCAAATCGAGGCCAAGACTCTACGTTGACCATACTAATGTTTTTTTTTTATTAACTTTAGAGAAATTATTCCCAACTTTTAAATTATTATAATTTTGGATCCTTAACTTTTTAAAATGAAGTTCTAAATAAGTGAATTTCAATTTTCACATATACGCAAAATATGAATATAGACGTTAAAATTGCACATGAGTCAAAGTTAAAAGGCAAATTTGTCAAGGTACTTAACCCCTGTTTGGCGGAGATTAAAATCAGATTTTTAATAAATTTTGATAAATTGATAAAATATGCGGTTGAGAAGTTGTCGGCTTCATTAAATGTATTGCTAAAATTAATCGTTGACTTTAATTTAAATTAAAATATTAATTTTAATTTTCACCAAACAAGGACTTAAATCCAACTTTATGTCACGTGGAATTTCAACTTCCACACTAGAAATCAAAAACTATATTACCTTAAAGGCCGGAGATTTCATTCTCCCAAATATTTCTTGGTAAGAAGAAT